AAAGAAGAACCCCTTCTTTCCGTCACATGAGAACAATCAGAGTTAACGACAAAGCAAACAGCAAACCTGTTTTAAATCTGTATGTAATCCAAAGGACAAAAACCAAATAAATGCTCTTTTACAAAAGTGCAAACTGGTGCCTCAAATGTAAACAGAAGAGATGCACATGTGCAGGACGGACACATATCACCCCAGTGATAGTCTACAACACTCATAGATCAGTCAGTGCCTTGCTCAGCCATCACCAGAAGCTCTTCCTCCTGCAGCAGGGGGTAACAAATCAGAGACCCACAGCCAGACTATATGCAGAGAGTGGGAGACTTTGGAACACTCAGCCCTAAATGGGATGTCTCTATCAAATTTTTCTCCTCAGGGCTCAGGGAACTCTGCAGAAGAGGAAACAGAAAGAGTATATGAGCCAGAGGGGATTAAAGTCTCTAAACACAGCCGGAGTGGTGCACATATGAACTTGGAGACTGTGGCAGCATGCACAGGCCTGCACAAGATAAGGTCCCAGAGCTAAGAGAAGTGGACACACACTCTGATCACTAACCAAAAGCTACTTTTCTCCATGAGAGTCTCACTGGAGAAACGAAGGGTAGGACCTTATGCCCAGCAGAAGGCATCTTTGGAAGTTATCTCATATGTTGGATTGAGGGTTGTTTTTTAATCTTATAGGTCCTTTGCATATATATTATGGTTCCTGGTTTTGTGTTTTCATGGGATTCCTGTGTGTCAACTTATGTGTCTCTGCATCTGTGTGTTTCTTGTGCTTTTTCTTCTGTTTGTTTTGTCCTATTCCGATTTGTTTTTGTTTTTTATCTTATTTTACTATTATTCCTTAGATGTCTGTTTTCTTAGGAAAGACCAAAGAAAGTGTAGATCAGGATGAGAAGCCATAATCAGAATATACTGTATTTAAAAAATTTATTTTCAATAAAAGAAAAAAATTAAAATAACGAAGTGAGTGAACTTGAAATTCAAAGAGCAAAAAATTACATACTCAAAATTTACTAAAATAATTTTAAAAATATTATAGTCTGTGTCAAGATACTATGAAGCATTTAATTTATAGCTTTCAAAAACTAAAAGCATAAGCTGGGCGGTAGTGGCGCACGCCTTTAATCCCAGCACCCAGGAGGAAGAGACAGGTAGGATCTCTGTGAGTTTGAAGCCAGCCTGGTCTACAGAGTTCCAGGACAGCCAAGGCAGAGAAACCCTGTCTCGGGGAAGAAGAAAAAAAAATGTATATATGTGTGTATACACACACACAGGGGCTCATCTGAGACCCAAGGCAATCTCTTACTTGTAACCCTTGTAAAATCAAAAAGCAAATTACAAACAGAACAGGGCTGGATCGATGGCTCAGCAATTAAGAGCACTGGCTGCTGCTCTTGCAGAGGACCTGAATCTGGTTTCCAGCATGCACATGGCAGCACATGAACATCTGTATCTCCGTTCCTAAGGAATCTGATGAGGCTTTACCCTGGATTCCAAGGCCACCATGCATGCATGTGCTGCACAGACACACATGCAGACAAAATACCCATACACACACACACACAAAAAAAAAAGCTTAAGAAAAACAAATATGTACTACAAACAAGGATGGCTCACAGCACTACTCCCCAACTTCATTTACCAAAGGGTTTGGGAAAAGGCAAAGAAAAAGCCTGCTCACAATCATAGAGGAAGGCATATTACGAGTTGTTTACATATGAGAAAACAGAACCACAAAAGACAGCATTTTTTCTTTCCTTTTTGGATTTTT